CAAAAAAAAAAAAGAAAAGCGAAAGGCATTGGATATAATCTTGGTTAAGGCCTCCGTAAGGAGTAGAGGGGTATCTATGTGGAATTCCAACGCCCCCTATCTCAAGTGACGAGACGTCTTCATACATACAAACGCCTCGGAAGCAGTGACCACAGACATATTAACGCGGAAATGATGAGGCGGAAAATTACGTCATGTGGTTTGCAAAGACACATCTCTTACAGCCACTAACTTGGTCACTGGGCTGGCTGGAGTGATAGCGTGGAGAACAGAGGAATAGCGCGCTACCCAAGAATGACAAAGTTTTATCTGCTCAGTACCTTGTTTTGAGAAATCTGACTACAAAACTTTTTAGTTTTTTACAACATGCCGCACTTTTTCGTATGCAGTTCTTTAAGTATCTCCATAACGATTCTGACTAATCTTGCGATTTTGATAGAGCAGATAGAACAATTGGTCTCTGAACTGCATACTCTTAGTTACTCAAAATGGCCTAAAATGTCAGACAGAACTGTGTAATTCTAAGGTAGCGATGACTGTGTTAAGCAGATACCTCGTCTTGGTGGTATTGATCATAGTATCGATACATACCTATACAATTTATTTATTTATTTTTTATTTTTCGGGTTTTTACAACTGACAGGTTAAGTTAGAAGGAAGGATGGAAATAAACTGCCAGTAGACTTGGGACTGAGCTGATAGCTCTTTGAATTAGTCTGTAAAATAAATTCTGCATAAGAATTCGTCTTGTGTCTGCTCCTTATGACTGAAGGCAGTGAATAAATTTGGTCTTTCTCGTTCTTTTACCTGGATAAATCGGTGAATTGCCATGATTTTTTAAAATGCTGCTGTCCTTATTTTTATCTCAGCTCGGTATGTCTTTAAGTTTACTAAGAGTTTTACCTCGATCGCAACTACATAAAGTCACATGAGCGCTTGAAACACAAGTTGGTTGCATTCCCTACAGTTCACAGCTCGGATTGATTTTGGTCAGTGTTTTTTTAAGTTAAACATTTCACGGTAAAAATTCCAGTTTTGAAATAACATTTTAAATAATATTAAAATAACAGTATAGTAATAATATTATACAGCAGGGCCAATGGTCTTTAAAAAATCAAGCATTCTGTTGGGACCGATGATGGAGAACAGATCTTTTAATTTTGTGCTTTTAAAATATTTCACTCGGGCCTCTTCAAAATCTGGACATTCTCTTAATATGAGTCTAAACGGATTTTCGTCTACCCAAAGGAGGTATTATGTGTCAGGGACGTGTGTCTGATACGCATTTGAGTAAAAATGACTTCTTCTCTTCTGGTATGTCTATTTCTGCTTCAGGTTCTCTGGGGCAGTACATAGAGAGAACTCTATTTAGCGAAAATGGAGATGAAATCCAAACTACCTCGTCCAGAACTGTATTCTTTTAATGTTCACTGGTCTGAGATGAACTGCATGTAGGAGCCTACCTGGTTGAAATAGTGCGTACATAACAAGAGTGCGCACAAATAAATTATAATTCAAATTTCGAAAGAAGGCAATAAAAGCCTCTTTTCAGGTTGAAGAAGTGACTGTTTTCATAGTTCAAGTTGGCTTTAGAACTAGAGACCAGAGGTAATTACCCCCCCCCAAATAAAACAAAAAACAAACACAAACTACACACTGATCGAACCCGAACAGCTGATGACGGATAAACAGCAGTTAATCCGCATGCGCAAGAGGGTGCTACTCCCATTGTCCTTCTGGAGAAACGAAAGAGAGCTTCCAACCGAGGACACTTTTTAGCCTGAGTGAACTATTTTGTAGTGAACGATTTTTGACCACAGACGCCGGTTGAGCTGTATTTGATTACACCGGACGATGACGTCATAGTTGTTCTTCTACACGATTTAAATGTACACCGACGGTTCATTTCCAGAAACACGTATGACACATTTTTCTAAAATCGACTTTTTACAGTCCGATCCTCACATCAAAAGGTTAATTTGACGGTTTAGAACTGAGGCCACGGAGAAAAACAACAACAAACAAAAGCAACGACAACGACGACGACAACAACAACAACAGCAACAATGACAAATTATTTGCTTTTTAAAAAAAAAAAAATTTTGGCCCAGGTCTCTCTCTACTAAAATATTGTTTTGACAAGTGAACGCTTTTCCGAAATCGTCCCCCACCCTGTGGTTTTTAACAGACAGTTTTGACATATTCACTGAAAAGGAAAATAGAACAACGTACTCCCCAGACACTCTGTTGTTATTTCGACCAATGAACCAATTTTCTATAACTCCGAATGTTATGAGAAGACAAAGAGAAAACAATTTAAATAGGATCCCAAAAACTACACGGTCAAAGTGAGGAGGGAAACAGAACATAAGAATTTAAAATATCTCAGAGAAAAAACCCAGGTCAAACAAAAGGACGCCAAACCCAAGCCGACACCACCCCCAGAGAGACAGCGCGTCTCCAAGAGGCGCCCGGCCTCCCCTTTTTTTCTCCCCAGGACCCAGAGCCTCCAATGAGAACAGCACCAGCGCTGGAGAAACCCCCACTCACAATACTCAGCCGACACTCAACTGACACTCTCCAACCCACAGGGGAGCTACCGCAATCAACACTGTTGCCCAAGCCGAAAGGACAACCTCTATACAGGATGTCCTGCGGCCACAGGTCTGCAACGCCTGCGGCCGAAAAGAGAGGCTGCTCCTTAACCCGTTCATATGCAGTGCTGGCAGCTGTAACGAGAAATGTCATCAATCCTGCAGCGGCATCTCCCGGTACTCCAGGAAGCGCCAATGGCTCTGCAGAATCCTTTCAAAAATCAAGACCGATCACTTCTCTGGGCTACGGGTCTACAAAAATAGAATAGACAAAACATCGGACCCAATCTGTCAATTGTGCAGCGAGGAACCCCAAGATTTGGAGCACTGGCTGCAGAGATGCCCCGCCACGGAGGTACGGCGGAGGCATCTCTTCGGGGAAGATTCAGGGAGGTGGACTGCCTCACCCGCTACTCAAGGGAGGCAGTGGCCCTGGCGAAGAGTACGCTCTTCGGGGCTCCAAACATTTCGAACGGATAGGCTACCACACACACACACACACACACACAACAACAACAACAACAACAACAACAACAACAACAACAACAACAACAACAACAACAACAACAACGACAACAACACGTCGATTTAAGACAAATATGACATACGCGTTTCTTGAACTGATCTGTCAACATGTACCACACGTTGCTCAATTTTTTTCAGTTGCCCCGAGAATCTTTGTTTGGTTTTAGTAAGAGGGTTTTACAGCATTTGCAATACAATTAGATCTTACCAGTGTCTAAGATTAGAAGTGTTACAAGCAGCCTATCCTCGACAAGCTGTTTAAATATTTTGAAACCAGACTGCAACAGTTTTTTTCACGAGAAAATAAAAACAACTGCTCACTTCTTTTAACAATAAATTGTACCTTCCTTAAGTACCTTTTCTTTCTTTCTTTTGGGTCTTGTGTCCTGATTTTGGTGCCAATATTTGTAGGTTACGTAAAAATGTATTGGCATTTTGCAAATTGTTATGTTCCAAAGTACCTTTTCTTGTCATTTTCAAGATGTCTTTATCAACATTTAGAATTTGGATTTCGTCAAAATGTTTCTTGAGCAGATTCAACCGTTACAGATACATTAAGAAACTGCAATTGTACAAAAATAGCAATGTTGGGCTTAGTACATCGTAACAGTTGTCCGGGTGACTAGACGGTCTTTCTCTAACACCCGTCTGGGTCTGGTCTGGTAGGTCTAATCAGTCGTTATCAGGATCGGACCGTTATCGTCTGCTGCAAAATGACAGCTACTTTGCCAGAGGACAAGGAAAAGGTAGCCATGGGCGATGAAAAAGGTATGGATATTGTGTCATTGTATCGCATTTCCATTTTTATCGAGTATTTCTGTCTATCTGTTGGGATGTTGTGTCAACTCAGTCGTAATGTTCCGATATAGGATAAGAAAAACAAAACTGTAGCAAAGATGGAGGGGGCGGGGCTATGGGAATTCTGCCAGAACTATGAAAAAAGTTTTGGTCAGTGGTTTTAACTTTTGTGTCCTAATCATGCCGCAAGTACTTTGTGATGACCAGCTTATTATTATTATTATTATTATTATTATTATTATTATTATTATTATTATTATTATTATTATTATTATCACCATAATAATAATAATAATAATAATAATAATAATAATAACAATAATAATAAAAATAATAATAATAATAATAATTATTATTATTATTATCATTACTGTATTATTGTTATTGTTATCATTATCATTATTATCATTAGGCCTATTTTTGTTGTTGTTTTTGTTGTTGTTGTTGTAGTTTGTATTAATCTTAGTATCGTTATTATTAGCATAATACTTCACGAATTCCCGTTAACAGCAAGCTCTATACCATTAGCAACCTGCCACAGTAATATAATAATAATAATAATAATAATAATAATAATAATAATAATAATAATAATAATAATAATAATAATAATAATAATAATAATAATAATAATAATTATTATTATTATTATTATTATTATTATTATTATTATTATTATTATTATTGTTATTATTGTTGTTATCATTATTAATGTTATTATTATTTTTATCATTATTATTATTATTGTTGTTTTTATTATTACTACTATTATTATTATTATTATTATTATCATTATTATCATTTTCATTATTATCATTTTCATTATTATTATTTCTTCTACATACTTAACTATCCGGGGATTCTTGTGGTCGAGAGGTTACGGTGTTTGCTTCTCTTTCAATACGTTCGAATCTGGATAACGATGGACAATTTTCTTCTCTAAAATTGTATCCTTTCACATCTTTTCCTTCTCTCTTGCAATGATCTATCGTCTACTTTCGTTCGCACTTTCTGTCCCTACCTCCTCACCTCCTTTGCCCCTTCTCTAGATTCCTGACTCTTTCTGCAGTCTTTCTACTGCTACCCCTTGGCTCTTACTTACTGCTGTAATTCAGTCACATCCCTGATCTTATGATAGGTAAGATCTACACACGCCTAGCCTTTTCGGATAACGGCGAAAAATCTCGGAGGTCACATGTGCAAGTTGCGCCTGCTAAAGATCCCTTTGTGATCCAAAAATCGATAAGAGTAGGCTTCGGCAGGCACCTGGGCAAAATTCAAAATTCCTACCAAAACTGAAAACGTTTATAATGTATCACGAGTGCTCATGACCTTATGCAGTTAATATCATCATCATCATCATCCAGTGCCAGATCTGCGCCAGACATCGGCGATCATGGTTTTCCATTCATTCCTTTGCTCGGATGCTCTCAAAAAAGCTACGTTTCCCTGATCTTTCCCTGTTACCCATTTGTTTAGGTTCCCTAAGTATGTTGATCTGGGCCTACCCCTGCCTCGTTTGCCCTCAATTTTGCCAGTAAGAGCTAGATGTTCAAGACCCTTATGTCTATTCAGGTGTCCCAAAAACTGCGTTTGCCCTTCCTGATTGTTTTTAACATTGAGCGTCCCACGTGGGCTTCGTCAATATAAGATAATACTTAATTATCCCTGAGGGAAATTTTTTCTTGGCTGTACTGGAGTGTAAAAACACAAGCAGGTATACATAGAAATTTAAATTATATACTATTCTCATTAAAATTCAATATGAAAAGAGAAGTAAAGCTGACAAAATGTACATATCTCATCAGATGCATCATTCAACCAAAAGCAGGAATTTGATTACAAGACCTTTAAAGTTATATAGATACATACTCGAAAGAGCAATACACATTGATGCTTTTTCTGACAATGGCCTTTTGCTAGATGGTAAAAAAAAAACTTCTTTTATATTTTTCTTTCTTTGTTTTTTAAAGGTACACATCTGTCAGAGCGTGATCTTGCAATTTTCGTGGAACGGGGGTGTGATGGGTCGTTTATAATACTGTTTATCTTTTTTATACTTGTGGCGTTACACATTTCATCAATTCTAGTAAAATCATATCCAGAGATCTTGGTGGTTTTCTTAATGGTTGTGTCAATTTTTTCATTATCTTTCACCCTATAATTCACAGCCCAGCAGTAAATACAAAACAAGAGCACGCTTTCAACCATAGAATGATATAAAACGGACATGATCTTATTATGGACACGAAAACTTCTTAATTTCCATAAAAGGAACATTCCTTGATTTACCTTTTTATCCGTCGTAGAGCACTTACAAAAAGAAAAAAAGCTTTACTATCCACCTACCCATCAATCTCACACCCATCCATATCCTCCCCCCT